GGTGGTCACTCATGTCCGGCCGTACAATTGTCAATCCTCGCCAAATGCAGCTCACCGGTCACGATCGGGCAGCCGAGAACCTCAGGTACTTTCCATGATAACCGTGCCGTCGCTTTTGTGACATAAGATATAGGACAGACTCCGGCACGACCGAATAATACCGGAGTCCTGGACAGCTGTGCACTTCAACAGAGGTAGATAGGTCGTCGCGAGCTGACGGGCCCCTCGTCGACAAATATCGCCATATCATTGGCATGTGCAAAGTCTCCAAGGTGCACCGAAGTAGCCCACCTTATGCACATATTGCCAGGTCTTATGTACGCTGGGCCATGTGATACATGGTTGTGCTATCAGTCCCGTTTACACGCAGACAGACGCACAAGACAGGCTTGCGACGGTGGTACTGTGTACGTGCAGAGACGACGGCCAGGGATACAGGACATGGAATGCGTGGACTATGACAATGCACGCCCTAAGCCGAGACGTCGGATTTTAGCGAGGTTGCAAGCGTGCGTCTCCTTGCGGCAGATCAGTATAGCGTGTGATGACCATGCGTTCTTGGCGGAGGCTACTGTAAGCGCAGCGGAAGATTCCATGCATGGCCCTAAAACGAAGGGAAATCCGGGGTAGAGACGAGCCGGAGCCACGGGGACGGCAGGAGGGCGACAAGGTTCAGAGCGCCGGTCTTTGATGTCTCTCGTGCCTCTGGAGTGGTGTGGCAGACAGGCACCGAGCTAGACAAGGGGTGCGTGTGCGCCGACAAGCAGCCCGAGCCAACGCTACGGCCGCGCTAGACAGGAATGGCCCTTGCCCACACGCGCAGCCTCCTGCCCAGGTCTGCACGTTTTGGCAGGCTCGGCAGGAGAAGATGGTTGACATGTACATACAAGCGATGCAGGCGCAATGCAGTCAGGATGCGCTGGGACAACGCGACCTCCCGCTCGCTCCACCCACGGAACCTAGACACCGGGGGTTTCTGTGCGGGCCGCTCTACTTGCACCTTGCTCGGCAACGCTCTGGATCGAGTATACAGTCAATCATCGCAGGCAAGTCTCCCTCCTGCCACCACACCGTGGCATATACTTTGCCTCGCGCGCCTCATTGTACTCGTTCATGCATCGTTCCGCACCCAAATGCCGCGCCACACCGTTACATTATGTACACATAGACTGCGGCCACCGCTACTTTGTTGTCTTAAGGTAGTTGCGGCATGCTCTTTTTAACCCCTTGTAGCTTAGTTCATGGTCAGTGACAGGTAGAAAAACGAAACGTGCCAGTACCTACCTAAGTAGTGAACGGCACCCCAGTACACATGTGCAAGATTTGCTAAATTGACCCCTCTCTTGCCCTGATGTCGTCTCTACACGTAGACTGGACCTGGGGCTCTGGAGCCATCGTTTTAATGGCGATGCTCAATTGCCTACTTCGATAGTTCATCGAGGACGATTGAATTGTTGTGGGGATTGTGATGTCTCGTTTATACATAGAAAGCAGCATGGGATAACCTTTCACTGTTTCTCAGTGCATTTGCCCAACTTTCTGTCCATGATTACGCTAAGGGAAGTATCTAGTAGCAGACTGCCCAAGACATACACTATACCAGCGTTCTAGACAGCAACTCCAACAACCACTTGTACGTCTGTAGCTGCGTGTAAGAAATCATTACGTCTCCTTTTGTCTGGTATGAGAAGCTTCGGCCACTGTGACGAAACCGACAGGCCTAATTCTTGTCAAGTCGGCCCTCCGCCTTTCATTTTTCTCACCCGTCAGGCACAGTAGAAGAATGGGAGGTCTGAATTGGGTACAACTAGAAAAGCCAACGTCTGCTGCAAGGGGTAGGAGACAAGTGATCCCTAGGCGTCGGGGCCCGGTTGAAAATTGACAGGGAGAACAGGGACATTCCCCGGTGGTACTAAGCAGGCGAGGCATATTCTGGCGGATTAGGGCCTCCTAGGTAAGGTAGTATATCTAGTTTCCACTGTGGTGGAGACTACCTGATGTCGCATTTCAGAAACACGGGCTTGTTTGGTCTGTCCGTGGCCCTGCCGCTTGCTACGAACTCAACTGTTATGTCTTAGCATTTACTCTGAGCCGTGGGGTCTGGACTTTGGATTCAAGATGGGGGGGTTACAGCTTAGGAGACATCGGATGCCTTGCAGATGGAATGACGTATGGCGGGTTGAGCCGAAGCCACAGCACACCAACCCGCACCGCGATGCTGGTTGAGGAAGGACCCTGAAAATCTGGAGCCTCGCTGCGACGCGGCAACAATCTACCTCACCACCTATGTAACGTCCTGTTGTTGTTTCAACTTCTCCGAGACTAATCATCCGATCAATTCCATGTCTCTCGTTTGCACCCGCCTCTTCGTCGTCGTTTGCTTGCTTACAAGCCGTAGCCAAAGCCATTCGACTATACCTACCTTACCTTAGGTACATGTAGGTGATGGGAACCACCACGGCTAACAGTGGAACAGTTTACAGCGGGGTGCACAAGGCAAAAGCTGGCGACCCGTCATCTGCGACAGAGCCTCCTCCACCGCAGTATTCTTACTCTCCCGCTCGCCACGAGCAACATTCCACGCATTCTCTCCAGAACGCTTTGATACCCATAAAGTCTGTGGAATCCCTGCCCGCCATCGGTGCTATCCCCTTGGGCGCCTTGCATGTCAACCAGGCTACAGAGGACGACGACCACATTGCCACCCCGCTCACGGTGCCTAATTTACAGATTTACAGATGCACCATACCACGTCTGACCCTCTACTTAGTAGTGGGGACGTCTTTATACTTGATGATTTGCCTGCACATTCTACTGTCGGCTGCGACGCTACGTCTCTGAACTCAGAAAAGCCGTTTCCTGGTTTCCGCGAAATCCCTCCCGGTCCCCATCTGATATGGGTTTCCCAGTCTGAGTCAACGTCTTCGAGGAGTGGTTACTGGATCTACACGCCACAGAAAGCGCATGGCGAGCCAGGCAATGTTTGGTATGTTTACAAACGCCTTGTCCGTTTTATTCACGAGCTACATGCTTGAAACATGGTATTGACTTTTTTTGGTAGTAAGTAGCATATCTGTTAGCTCCCTACGTCTCGCCATTTGTCACAAGTTTCGATCACGGTAGCATCGACAAATTCGACTAACACCCGGGCTCTCTTGCTACTAGACGTGAAGCAATGGTCAAAATTCAACGAAGTCCTCGACGATCCTGCAAGTCAAGCAGAAGAACGGATCCAGAAGGAGAGATTAGGTCATATATTCGATAGTCTTATTCCGTACGACAAGACCCGAGATACCACGGCGGAGGCTTCATCGAGGTCTGCATTCTCTCACGGTGACGAGAGTCCCTCGGCTCCACTAACAAAGCAAGCCATCTGGTTCCGCATCACATTTGGGATTACTCCGGGAGTACTGGGCAGGATCACAGGCGGGGAGGAGACAATGGCTTTGGCTGTGCACACGACAGACACCGTATTGGGCGAGACACGTTTGCTGGAAGAGGCTCGAGTCTACGGAACGAATCCTCATCACTTTAGATTTCTGTTTCCTATGGATGCCCATCTCGTCAACCCTCAAGCCAAGGGAGCGGAGCTAACCCGCCAAGCGCTTGACCCAACAGGATGGATTATTGACAAGGTGACCGCTGCAAATGTAAATTGTCACCTTGAGGACCTTGTTGGCGAGTTCCAGTTCGCGTTCATCACAGGCATGCATCTTGGCAATTTCTCTTGTCTTGAGCAATGGTGGTTTTTGGCTTGTCGCCTTCTCTTTCGGTCATACGATCTTGCCGTGACCCAACCAGAACTAGCGCGCCAACTGATACAGACATTTCATGCTCAGTTACTATACAATGACAGCTACCTAGACGGAGATGTCTTTGAGATGATGCCCGAGCATTCACTCAAACTTCAGAAAGTTCTCACTACATACAAGGCTCATCTGGATGAAAAACTTCTTGCGCTTGGCGATAGTTGCACGCCCGATCAGCAGGCAGTTGGTATAGCATTCTCATCGCTCGAATCTTGGCTTTGGCGCCTTGGCTGGTGAGTTCAGGGGCCCACTTCTACGTATCCGCGATGCACGCGATGATGTCCTTGGTTATTCGTTGACTGCACTTGTTGATTACTAATTTATGATGCCATAGGGATCTTCGAGGGGAATATGTAAGGTCTGGAACTTTAATGCTCGAGGATGGTGAGATGGTGCAGGCTGAACTCTCGGATTTCGAGGAAGAGGATGAACGTGGTGAGTTTGCGCCAACAGTTGTCGAGTTTGAGAATGGAAAAGAGACTGGGCTCTTTTAGAGCTTCCGAATATCTCATTCGTCCGCCTATCTACTACTTAGACGGCTTCAGGCGGAATATGCTTCTTCAACTCCCGAATAATATACTTGCTCTCACGAGTTACGCAGACAGCTTGCATGTTAGATGTGCAACAAGAGACGGATCTGTATCACGTGTCAGACCTGAACGGAGCTACTTATTTCGCTAGTCGTGGTGTGAGGGATGAAAGACTACTTAGCTCATCTCTTATTTCCCCCATGGTAATCCAAATACACCTGTAGATAACCAAATGACGGGCCTCTATGCTCCAGACTCGATGTCCTCAATGCTTCAAATTTTGGTATGTTTGCCTCTATAGGGCTGTGAAACGGATCGTAGTAGACACGGTCTACATATAGAACATGTTCTTAAGTAGTTCAATTGGCACCGAGATCCGAAGAACAGCTCTGTTTCTTCTGTTGTTGATCACCAACTTGTGGCATTGATACTGCCTAACTAAAGGGTTGTTACCCCGAGAATGGAGCGGCTGTCAGCTTGCGATAATACTACTGTTATTCAAGTCGTACCTGAAGAAACATTAACGCTTATCCTCCAGCAAGCCGGGCGGAGCACGAAACCGGGTACTGCCTGGGATACCTCTTAATGGTAGACTTTAAGACATGTAGGTAGAAAGCTAAAGACTTAAAAAATATGCTACAGTGCAAATGAAGCCACGACCTGATTCCGCCCGGGTTCGAACCGGAGACCTTCGGTGTGTGAGACCGACGTGATAACCACTTCACTACGAAACCAATTATTGGGTTCTGCTAATGTATTGACGACTATGACATAGGGTAGGGTCTAGGGAATATGTGTGAGGTACCTGTGTTTTGTGTGCAATTTCTGTTTCTGTTTCGAGCAAACGACAAGACCAACATATAGGATGATGATTTCTTGACCGACTCAGAATATAATTTAGTGAGGCTATAATGTAGACTCAGTGCGGCCTATCTAAGGCCACCAGGACAATTTCTTAGGATAACCAGATGTCGGGATGACGGAGTTGTCTCGACGACAGTGTTCAACATGTCTTTGTTTTGCAGGAACATTAAATGAGAACAATATATGTGAGCTCTACGTCGTAAGACCAATGGTTGATTGAACCAACCTGTTAAGTCCATGATGCAGAACCGAGCATAAAAATTTGGTAGGTTGTAAAAAGGGAAGCCTATGGTAATGTGGTATAGTAGCCCCGGGTAACAAGGTAGCCAAGCACGCGGCGACAACAGGATAGATCTTCAATCCCCGTTCAACACTATCATGTATTAGGACAACAGAAGCGACTACGATGCAGTAATTATTTTTAGCATCTGCGAGAATATTGTAACCTTTCAAGAAGCTTTCGCCGTGTCTTGACATGACCCCTTATGCCTCGGCTTGCGATTTCGTTCATCTTTGGCAGCACTGTAGCGTTGCTGGGTTAGGTCGGACACATACAATGTCACTTGGGCCTCACGTTATACCTTCAGAGATAGCATTGTCATTACATCGTGGGTTCCTTCCGGTGAAGACTTTATCTAATGCGTTGCAGTACCCCGAAAAATGAACTTGTAAGTGTGACATAAAAACATCTTATGCAACTGTGCAAAGGATAGGTCTCGGCCTGTACCCAGAAGTTGGAAGTCGCAGACCGAATGACTTGTCTCGAACTTACAGGCGGTGTACCGCATAGTCTAGATAGCTCTCAAAAACAGACCAGCATACCCACACTGGTCCATCTGACGTTTTAGGTTGATGAACGAATATGAAAACATCTTCATGGTCTGGTGTGTCGGGTTAGCAATACTCAATGAGATGCACGGGAGATAAGGAGTCCATTTAACCCTCCAATTCCCCCCCTCGGGTTGCAAAGCAGCCCCATGTGCCAATTCTGACAGAGTAGAATCACATATTTTGCCTGCCTTTAGCACGTGACGAGAGCAGTTTCACCGGGGGATTGAAGGTCGAGTTTTTGTTCAGAATTTGTATTTATTTCATTCGCCTAATTCCCTTTACAACCAGACAGAGCTGCCCTGTCATGCAAATGCAATCATGATAGGAAAAAGACCCTGGGACAAATAGCCTTGCCGAGTATTCCCTTTTGTAACTCCCTGATCCGATCTTCGTAAACACCCGGAGCTCAAACGCTGAATCAGGGATACAAGAGAGACGACATCGTTTCGCATCGAGTGGCTCGGTCCATCGTGCGCGTGCGCTCTTCTTGTACGTCCAAACGATCCGATCTCCTACCCATCCCTCTCGTAAGCCCTTCTCGCCCCCAACAAAGCCACCGCAACAGCTGTTTAACGGTAAGACTTCTGGAAGCGGGCACGAGCACCCGGACCACCGAACTTCTTGGGCTCGCACCGACGGTTGTCGGCAACGAGGAGGGTACGGTCGTACTGGGCGAGGGCCTGCTTGAGCATGTTCTTGCTGTGCTCATCGACGAACTTCTGGTAGTAGGCGATCAGGGCCTTGGCGATGGCTGCGTTGACTCCATTAGTTTGACTCTTTCGCCGGGGGCATCGCAAATCGTTAAGTACCTTGACGGATGGCATAGACTATTTGAGTTCGAGGTTAGCTTGGTATTTCACATATTATTGAAGTGACTGGAGCGCGGGGTCTCTCTTACCCTGGCTGGTCTGACCACCACCAGTTACGCGAACGCGGATGCTGAAACGGCTGTTAGAAATGGTGAAGCGTGTGCGCAGAGCTATGATGCATACTCGACATTCTGGAATTTGTCAAGGCCGATGACGAGGAGGGGCTCGTAGACCTTGCTGTAGGTATGTGTAAGCGCAAGCGTTCGGCAACATGGACATTGTTGCCCGTCAGGTCTTAGCGACTCACAATCGGAGAACGGGGGGTTCAACCAGGCTGAGGGGCTTTCCGTTGACCTTCTGTTGGCGCGCATAGCGGGTTAGCGATTGTTCGTTCGGCAGATCGGGGAATAAGCGAGTTCCGTTCGGGTAGTCGTACGATGAGACCGGAGCCGGATTGGCAAGCCTGTGTAGCGAGAGTCAATACAGCTTTCGATATTTTGACGGGCGTTGCGGGTGAGGACTTACGGCCACAGCCGTGGCGCTCTTCTTCTTGCCGAAGCACTCTATTGATTATGGTCAGTTTACTTTGTTGGCTGGCCTGGTGTAATCGGGCAGAGGTTACACATACGAACTGACTGCGGAGCCATGTTGACGATGTGCTGTGTGTGGTGTGTTGAGGGAGTCGAGGAGCGGAACAAGAGGTTGGTCGAAATGTTGGGTCGGGCGTTGCGTCGTTCACACGAATTTTCGTTGGTGTTGTGGGCGATTTGTGCGTGGGGCTCTTTTTCCTTTGGTCTCCTCGCCAGCCCGTTGTGGCTTAGATGTGCAGATGTGTGGCTTGTGGCTTGTGGCACGGAAATGTCTGCGGGTACCTAAACCTCTTCTGGCTTCCGAGGAGCTGCCGATTAAAAATGGGGCGGCATGCGACTTTTTCGGAAGCCTCGAACGTCCAGAGCTCCCTAGCGGGGTACTCGTGCTCACTGCGTAGTGGGGTTTACTCCCAATTCTAATACCTCGTACTAATCTCGAGAGGCTGTATAAGTGATCGAATTCGAGCATTTCTAGATGCATGATTGAAAAGACTATGCTTCCTTCAACTCTTACTACGTTTAACAACAACCCAAGAAAACAGGTATAGAGAAAACACTCTGCGTGTCTGCATGTTCTTGCAGGAGTCTTATGTCTCACTTACTGAGTGAGGGTGCCGGGCAGTGCTGAACCCTCGACATCTAAGTCAAAGAGACCTTTGGAAATTTCTGGACAACTGAGGGATATCATGGTCATTTACACACTTTTCTTGCCAAACACTTAAATCCAACGTAAAAAGTGAGCCTATCTATAGCTTGAAGCCACCATGTCCCGCAAGGGTGTCGGTCTGGCAGCCTTCGACCGGTCACGCCTCACATCAGCTCAATTTGCCTCTCATGGCAACTCCCTGAGGACCAACAATGCTCAAGCCCTGGAGACGCAATTCTCCGTCTTCCGATCCTTATTGCAGCAGTTCGCCCAGACACACGCTCGTGATATTCGATCCAATCCATCCTTTCGCGCGCAGTTCGCGCGCATGTGTGCAGCCATCGGCGTGGATCCCCTGGCATCATCAAACAACAACAGCAGTAGCGGCGGTGGCAGCATCTGGTCTCAGCTACTGGGTCGCAGTGTCAACGATTTCTACTTTGAGCTGGCCGTGCGTGTTGTCGAGGTCTGTGGTGCCACGCGTGAGGAGAACGGAGGTCTCATCGGTGTAAAGGAGCTGAGAGACAGGCTCATGAGGGGGCGTATGGAAGGCGCACCTGAAATCACGGAGTACGTTGTTTTCCTTCGGCCTTTCCGAAAATTCCTTCCTTCACGACCCGAAATCCTGGCGACTTGCGAATTGTGGACCATCCAGACCTAAGCAGCTAACAATGCTTCAGAGATGATGTACTTCGTGCTGTGGGCACATTGAAGCCACTGGGCTCAAGCTACTCTGTCATACCCGTCGGCAAAAAGTCATATGTACGCTCTGTGCCGAAAGAGCTTAACACAGATCAGAGCTCTGTTCTTGAAGCAGCGCAGGTACTAGGCTACGTAAGCATCTCGATGCTGATGGACAATTTACAGTGGACGCGGGCGCGATCCCAGACTGTGCTTGAAGATCTTCTTGGTGAAGGCATGTTGTGGGTCGACAAGCAAGCACCGGAATGGGAGTATTGGAGTCCTGGATTCATCTTGATAGACTCCTCGGATACTTGAGGAACTCACAGGTGAGACATTGCGAATGATACCTGGATGCGTGCATTGCTTTGTGTCTCTAACGAACTGTACGCACTCACGCACTTCGTTCTTTTGATTGCTGTGAGGGAGACGTATGCGGCCTCCGACGGTTGAGAAGGTCTGGTTGCAAAGTAGATTGCGAACTGTTGCAAAGCGGCATAATCATACCCGAAGTCAACTTATCTTGGGGGGCATTGTAGCAAGTCTAGTCCACTTGCCACCGGGGAAGCTCAGTCGAGAGGCGGACTTTGAAGATAAGAGGTAGAAAGGGCGAAAAGGAGTTTGATTAGTCAATAATCACATCACCCATATGGCTTAGGCAGTCCTTTGATGGAACAAACAGCCATCGTGGGCTTCGTGGATCACGGTACCATTCGATCGAGCAACAAACATTGAGTCCGTAGTCAGTTGAGAGTTGAGATAATCACAAAGTCTCGTAATGGATAGCACAAAGGTATCTCAACTTTTTCAATTGAAAGTATATCGTCTCTTGAGGAATGTTCAGAGCTCCAAGCTCATCACGTCGTTGCCACCCAGCCTACCCATTTTGCCCCCAGCCCATGCAAAAGGGAAACAAGGAACAAAAGAAGGAAACGCGCCGTGTTGATGCTATGCTACCCTTTGTGAAGAAGCCAAATAGAGGAATTATGTAGAGGAGCTAGAGTAAATGACAGCGTCTACATCCGTGCTGTCGAGTGAATTAGTAACGGGAAATAATGGGTGACGATGTGTCTCTTGCGGACCAGCCCGGCGCACATGGGATCTGATGATGATGATTATTAAATCTGACTGAGTTTCTGACAAGCGGCCTGACACTCTTGTTTATTATATTTGGTGGGCGGGAGGTATAATCCTCGGATTTCGGTATGGATGCTGGAGAGGGGGAAAATATCTCGGGCGATTGGTGGTTTGATGACAGAGCGATACGGGGTACGGCAGGTGGCAATGTACGTCGCCCGCGCGAGCTCTAATGA